CTTACCCATACTTATAAATATCCACCAACAGTAATCACAATTCACACAACATTCAGCCTTGATAATGGATGCAGAACACATTCGAAACGCGTCGGCCAACTCATCACTATCTACAACTTTTACCCGTTGTTCTAACAACGTTAAGACGGCTTATCGACTTCTTGAGAAGAATTCTAAGAAGAAAGTAAACCTACAGACATCGGTCTTGTTTAACAAAATCTGCATACTGTATACTTTAAATAAATGTAGCGACTGATTGTGTAAAGTCAGTAGGAATTGTGAAACCGTGAAAACTATTACTAAAACTTAAAGAGGTGCTGTTTCGTTTGAAGTTAAGCACAAAGCTACACGATAGGCTCTCTGTGCTCTTCCCATCACGGGTATCGAAACCCGGTTTCTAGCGTTGTAAGTCCGCAGACATAGCGCTGTACCACGGGGGGGGGCAAAAAAAGATACGAAATTGTGGAATAAACAAATTGAATTTCTGTAATAACAACACAATGTATTATCATAATATGATTTTAACTTAAAAGGAAAGTATCTTAGATAAACGTTTACTAATTCTATTTACTTTCGAACATTGTTAATATGTCTAATTTATACCTGGAGTGTATTATATGTTTCTACATTTGGAAATTTGATTCAGATTATTTATGTTTAGTTGAAAAACGGTATTTGAATATTTTTATTATAGATTCTCGGTACAATTATATCCCGAAACGTGAAGTCACGAAACCGGTTGAAGATATTAATAAAGGAGAGAAAATAAAGAATAGTCTGATATTCCAGTGTTTAAGTGTAATCTATAAAATCAGTTATCTTCTGTGTGTATTGTGAAGTATTTGGTTTGTTTTGTAATTAAGCACAAAGCTACACAATGGGCTATCTGTGCTCTGCCCAACACGGGTATCGAAACCCGGTTTCTAGCGTTGTAAGTCTGCAGACATACCGCTGTGCCACTGGCCGGGCAGTATTTGGTTGATAAAACATTTTTAGTATGACGAATACAAGAAACTGAAAAATACTTCAATAGATAAAATCTTTACACACATTACTTGTTCTCGTAGAATGACCAGAATATATTATACCTGCTTTATTCTCAAACATTGTGAATATAATCACTGCTTACAGATTATTACACTACGGTCTACACTATACTGCACAACGAGAGATTAATAAACACGTGAAGTTTATGTCAAAAGAACCAACAAACAGGAGATTGAATAAAGTCGCTAAATATCTGCAGTACATACTTTTCAACATAAAATTAGATCTGTACCTATACATACATAGATAAAATTTATATTGTACAATAGTAACGTTTAAGTATAAAACAGAAATATATGCAAAAGCGCCACCTACCGGCCAGGAAGGGGCGGATCGCCAGCAGCAGGCTCAAAACGGAAGGCACAACATACACCACCTATCAAACAAAAGCACGTAGAAAATCGATAAGTATACTGGATTTTATTCACTAAAGTCATGCAATATCCATAGTAAAGAGAAGCTAATATAAACATGCACAGTTTATCATTGAAACTTCCAACATTCTGTTTTGTTTTTCAAAACACTTACTTTATTAATCCCAGCGTTAAATAATTACCATGTAGGTGTTAGATACATTTCCCAAAGTTTGTTCTTAAGTGACATTATAAACGGAACTACAGGGATGGATTTAATACATTTAAGTTTTTTAAATTACAAGATAGATTAAACATTAAAACCTTATGTGTGATTTCGAGGTTTGATTTTATTTCTGAAGCAAATATTTGCTTTAAGCAAGACAGATCTATGCAAAGTTTCATGTTGTCTAAAATTAGGGTTGAATGTAGTCATTAAGAATTATAACAACAATTCGTTAGATATTCTGAGTACTATTTGAATTTAGCATATGCTCACGGCATGAAAATAAAGTATTTATTTATTTAAGTGTTGATATATATAAATACTGCTAAGCATAAAAACACGAGCTTGATTTCTACTGGTCGTACCCATTCTGCAACATAATAATATCATGCAGGCCTCATATTGCTCGCCACATAACTATGACTCCAAAGAAAAATTCCTAGCTTGTGACGTCGCACTTCACGAAAACCTCAAGTAAAATGTGAAATATAGAATACGAATGTTATATAAAAGCATTGAATATCATAGTTGAATCCAGAACGTACCTTAGGCACTTTCTATGTAAATGGTGGTAGAAAATTACAAACAAACAGGCAGCTAATATCCCACTTTTCAAGGCTAAAACACAGGTTATGTAGAGTGTCCCATGCATGTTACTAGGGCAATGAAAGAGTTAAACCACCTGATGCATTACGCTATTGTGGTTCAGAATTAGTTAAAAAAGAATCCCCCTGAACTAAGCTTGGCGAGCTCTGAACATTTTGATGAAAAAGGTGACGTCAAATGTACTTCATTGTTTTCAGAAGCAGTTAATTTTTCTGGAAAGAATAATGTTCAGCTTTACTTTCAAAATCAGGTTCATCAGATGAACCTGATTTCATCACACATCAGCACATTGAGCTAGAAAGTTCAAACAAGCAGATCTAAAACGGCCTCATATAAACATAGACGACAGCAATGATAGAAAATAAAAAAATAACCATAGCAGATAGTATATGACATACACAGACCACAATATCCACTTTTGTTATTCACTTATAAAATAAATAAATCACATAAAAGATAATCAAAGCACTCCAGAGATCATACCATGTTGCTGACGCTTCGATTTTAATGTTTCGTCAGAGGAGAAACTACAATATTTGAAGTATTAGTACAGATGTAACTTGAGTTTCGTGGAATGGGTATGATGTACTGTTTAGCACCACTACTTATTCTTCCATAACGCATCTTCTTAGGATGATAGAATATCACTAAAATCTTTCAATCAACTGTTTTAGAGAAATACTGAAACAAATCACGTGATCTTGTTCCCTGCTATTGTAATTCTGCAAATGTAGTACTTAAACTTGTATTTTGACTATATTTAATAGTCGTTGGATAAATGAGTATAAACAATATCGTGTGCTGTGTTAAGACAATCTTCAATTAATTTCCCCTAAACATAGAAAAGTAACTACGATACGACACTTACATAAACAATTATACTGAACATTTTTTCCCTCTGAATTAATTAATATTTCATTATGATAATACAAACTAATGATATCAACTCACCACCCACAAGACGGGATCAGGGTCATTCACCTTCAAATAAGTAAAAAAATCAGAATTAATATTAAAAAATCAATTCAATAGATGAAAGTCGGTGACAAAATGAAGTACGCGTTTGTTCTACATCTATAAACACAATGAAATATATCAACGATGTTTAAAAATCGGAATGTTATAAACGAACCAAAAACATCCAATACATTCAGCAATCTACCTACCTATATAACTTATTTACTGAAAAATCAAGAATAAAATCAATGTTAGTCCCGGAGAAGCTACATAATCTAAATCATTGGAATAATGTGGAATGGAAACAGAAGGAGGTAAGTTATTTTCTGTTTAATTAAACTGGAAAAGCATCATTCATTCATTTGTGTTGATATCCTGTATGTATATCACTAGTGTGGGTATGCTACGTATTAAATGCTTCATGAATGCAAATTTGATTTAATTTACAATAGGAATTATAAAGTCCTTGCAAAATACCATAACTTGTCTTCCAGCCTAGATAGTGAAGCTTTTCTCAAGGCTCACCTTACATTGTCATACCCTATACTACTAACAGTTTCTAGATCTTGTTACACAGTGCTGTAGATCAAAAAGATCACAACCCCTTCACGGTTTTACTTGATCACATCTACTCAGGTATGTATTTTAAAATGGCGTCCCTGTTCAAGGTATTATCTGATATATGTCAAACAACACTTCTTTTTGGTTATGTTTAGTAAAGAAAAACTCTAGCACTAGCACGGGGTCCCTGTGCTATTCTTATGTTTGATGCACTTATAACTATGGTAAGTCTTTTTCTTACACAGCTAGAAGCGTTCAACAATGTCAATCAGTCAGTGAGATTGAGGAATTTGTGTTTTGTGAGTTTTTGTTTCTGTTCTGCTGACTTTCTCAAGTGGTTGTATAACTTGAAATTTTGTATGTGGTTTCTTTATCACCTAAAAGTGTCTCTCAAACACATGAGATAGTGTCACCTTGTATGAAAAAAGTGCATGAAGAAGTGGGAAAAAATATTTATAAAAATTGAAAGTGTAAAAATGAGTGCACCAAAAAGTGAAGAAACAAGGTCCAAATGGGCATGATCTAATAAAACTTCCTTCGTACAACATCACCAATGGATTGTGTCCAACATCCGGTCTCTGTCTACTTCATTTTCTGTGTTCATAATATCATACAACCTATGGATACATACAAAAGTGTATATCTAATTCTTCTGCTTTTGTATAGACAGTAACGAATCCATGACGTCGATGCACACAGACCTCTTAGGATTTTTTTATCTTTGTATTTTAATCCACCTATACAGCTAATGTACGAAATCATTCTCGTGAAATTGTAGAAGGAGGAACAAGTTGTAAAGAGAAAAATAAACATGAATATCTGATTCTTCTGGTGTCGTTTAAACAGACTTTACAGTATTTGTATTGCCTCCAGTAATTCGATTCACAGAAACCTCTAGCTATTGTATAATAAACATAACTAAGATTGATAAGTTTAGTCCACCTGGCTTATTATATACTGGATAGAAATAATAAACGAAGTAGCCATGGACCGGATTTTGGACACGTCCCCTTGTGAGGTTGTACAGAAGAAGTTATTTTACACCAAGCTCATTCCTACCTTGTTTTCTCACTTTTTCGTGCATCAATTCCTACACTTCATTTTTGTTGTTGTTGTTAAATATGTTTTCCACTTGTTAAGTTTTAGTCTTATCCATTAAACACTATATTGACCTTCTTGTCCTTGAGTCCACTTTAAACCCGGGTGTTCAAAGTTTGGCATAAACAAACCTAGCCTATGTATAAAGAGGACACAGCAACAATTGACATTACAATAGTGAGTTCCCTATGATACAACCACCATTAGGTAAAAGAGAATCTGCTAGACAACTGTGTTATTCATACGGTTGTTTAGGGTATTGTGTTGGTCAAGCGGTTTCATTCAATGTTGATATATTAAATTAAAATTTAGATCATTTGAACTTATTTCATTTAAAAAATTTTTTTACTAGTGAAAAAATTGAAATATTTTGTGTCTTCTCTGGAAAGCTACAACATTCATCAAGTACTTATTGTAAAGTATATACTATTTTTTACTGGCTAACTATTTAGGTCGTCAAGAAATTAATGTCGCGTTTTGGAACACTTTCATTAACTACCCTCCAAAAAAACGTACATCACGTATAGTAGTTAAACGAAATGCCTAAACGTCACGTTAATGTAGCCTATGTAATGTGCAAAGTATTACTCTAATCCCTTATAGTAATGGCACACAACAAGACACACATTCGGCATGTAATGCTGTTTGAAGACAAGAAGGGAAACAACGCCTCTGTAGCCGCAAAGAATATCAAATAAGTTTATGTAAATGTTTTGAACGTTCGTAAGTGTCAACGATGGTTCAGCAAATTTCGTTCAGGTGACTTTAGCTTTAAAAACTGTGATGGCAGGAGCCGACATGTTGGAATTGATA